CTGTATCTCCTCCAAATTTACAAAGTCAAGGGTCTCCTTTTCTGCTACTCCACACGGCAACGGACGATCGCGTTAAAACTGCGAAGACATCGGCGCGTGGCTGCTTAAGAAGCAAGTAGGCAGCGAGGTGCTTAAATCATGGGCTCTAGGCCTTTGCGTGTAATCAGGTAAAAAAAAGTCTGCCCGGTCTCCTTGATAACACAGGCTTAATTATTAAGTAGAAGCCCGTATTAAATGTGATGGCCCACCTTTATACCTCCATGGCAGCAGAAACCCACGAATCATCTTGATTAAAAAACAAAAAAAGAACCCGAAAAAATTAATATATTAGTCCCTTATAATAACCAATTTATCTACAAGCAAGTCACATGAAATTTAAAAATTATGGTCAAATCTTCTTAAATTTTGAGTATAATTTATGATTAGGGTATAAAGATAATACTATTCTTATTAAAATACATCAAGTTATATATAAAATAATAATGTATTTGTATTTATAAAACACAAAATATGAATTTTGAATTAAAAAATTTTACTTATAAATTGTGAAGTTACAATTATAAGATAAGGATAAATATGACTTCAGTCTATTATTTATAAAATATAAAATATGACTTGTGAATTAAGAATTTTTACTTATAAATTGTGAAGTTGTAAGATAAGAGTAAATATGATTTCAGTCTATTATTTATAAAATACAAAATATGACTTGTGAATTAAGAATTTTTACTTATAAATTGTGAAGTTATAAGATAAGGGTAAATATAACTTCAATTTATTATTTGTAAAATATAAAATATGACTTGTAAATTAAAAATTTTTTACTTATAAATTATGAAGTTACAATTATAAGTAAAAAGTGAATATGACTTCAATCTATTATTTATAAAATATGAAATATGATTTGTGAATTAAAAACTCCTATATATAAATTGTAAAGCTTGTAATTGTAAGGTAAACATGACTTCTATCCATTGTTTTTTTTAATTAGTAAGTAGGGTCATAAAGGTATTTTTATCTAAAATTTTAATTATATTCAATTCTTAAGAGACTTGACTGTATTTTTTTAAATTTGTAAAATTTGTTTGTTGATACATCCCTTATCCGAGACCTATGAATAATTTTCCAAAAAGTAAACTTGATTTCTCTCCATTAATATTTGCCTTTTTCTCCAATTTTTCCTAAGCATATCTTTTACTAAATTTTGAATAGACTAGATTTAATATTTTATAAACATTATTGTTAAAAATATATTAAATAAATGCAAATTACTACAACCTAATCTAGACCATTCATACTTAAAGTAAAAAAATTTGAAAAAATATTTTATGATTATTAAATTTGGAGCATTCAAATTTTAATCTAATGATTAAGATATGTGAGAGAGAGAAAGTTAAATGAAGAGAATCTAACCCTAAAAATTTGACTCAAATAACAGCCATTTGTTTAATATTAACAAAAAATGATTATTATTATTATTATTATTTGCATGAGTAATGGTATCTCAAGCATTTTATCCAAATTAATCCGATTGATAGCTCGCAGACGATTCTTTAGGTCAATTTTTGGCTTATCAAAATAAGTTGAAAACGAATTTTCTTCAAATGACCCCTCATATTTAATTAGAACTTCTCTCAACAATTCTTTCACGGAGCTTAATCAAAATCACTTTTTTTCTTTTTTGTTAAGTTTAAACAAAGGGCTTAAATCATTTGACCAGAAATCAAACACCCATCACGAAAGTCTGGTCACGTGCTAATGCATTTAGATACATCTAACAATAAAACATTGGGTCAAACAAAAGTAGAAATAATTGTAGGTAAAGTGGATTTTTATCCTATACTCACCCTATACTAATAAGTAAGGTAAGTAAAATCAAACCGATTATTAAATCAGTCATGACACTGGGTCACGGGTTAATGGTTCAACTTGCAAATCGATCATGAATCATAATTAAAATAATACAATTTAAATAAAAAGACAGTAATTATAAAAACATTCAACCAAATCCAACCATTTAAAAGTCTAACAATAATAAAATACAACACTTCAAATATCCATCCTTACAATTACAACCCTTTAATCTCAAAAGTTTAGAGAAGAGACAAAGACAGAGTTGGAGAAGAGATGGAGATTGAGTTGGAGAAGAGACGGAGACAGTAGAGACGGAGATAGAGCTGGAGAAGAGACGAATAGTCGGATAAAGTTGGAGAAGAGACGAATAGTCGGAGACTAAGCTGGAGAAAAGACGGAGATAGCAGAGATGGAGATAGAGTTGGAGCCTGAAGAAGAGACGGGAGACTAAGTTGGAGAAGAGACGCCAATTAGGTTAGGGCGAGAGAGGAGAGACACAGATCAAAGGTCAAAGTGAATGCTGTCTAAAAATTTGAATTGGACTTATCATGCTCTGCCTCTAATTTTTCATTTTTTGACTTCAATTTCACATTTTTTTATCTTATTTTCAAACTCAGCGCTTTAAAAAATCAAAAATGAAAAAAATCCCCCAAAACGACATTGTTTTGGGGGTTCTGTTTGAAAAAATAATAACCCGGTTAACCTAGTCAACCCATCGGGTTATCTGGGTTATACCGAGTTCAAACCGAGTTGATCAGGTTGTATCGATTCATTCCCTCATTGGTTTAGAAGCAAACCCAGACCGAACAAAGGATCGGGTCATCAGTTTTTGAGTTGACTCGACCGGTCTGGGTTTCAATATCCTGCTAGTAAGTGATCACTCCCCCCTTAAATTATTTTCTAAAGGAGCAAAAATCTCCTCCATTTATGATCAAATGCCTCACTTATTAGTATAAGATGCTTAACACTAATAAGAAGAAAGTATAAGTATAAAAATGCGCTTTATCTGAAAGTAAATGTGAGCCACTACTTTACTTTAAGCAATAAATATTTTTTTTGGCAATGACCATAAGGGAACAAGCAGTTACAACTTCCCCAAAGTTATAGTTGTTTGTTCCATTCTGATTATTGCTAGAAGAAAAATACTTATTGCTTAAATTAAAAATACTTAGATTTTTGTGAATTAAAAATTTGCACAAGAAAATTTATAATTGATTTTTTCATTCTAGTCATTGTAAAAAAAAAGTCATATTTAAACTAAAGTAGTTACTAATATCTATTTTTTATTTTAAACAAGAGGTATTTTAGTTATTTCATGAAAAATCATTAAAGCCTAAAAGGTTCGTAGAAACTTGAGAAGAATCATGATATTTTACAAGATCTTATTATCGTTTGCATATTTTAAGGGGTTAAAGTACATTTTCTCTTGTACTTTCATTCAAAGAGCGCTGAGCACCATGTGTGGGATATTATAAAATATTTATGAGTATTTCAAAAAAAATTATTATAAATTACTATTTAAATAAATTTATGTTATATATATATATATATATTAAATCCTATTATTACATAAAACCATTTTTAAATTGTGTTCATGTGTTTTTATTGCCTAATTTTTAAAATATCTTCCTATAAAAAGCAATACTTGCCACATGTTGTTGAAGAGCTTTTAAGATGGACTTTCTCTTCTCCTCTATCTCATTGCTTCAATATCAGTGTTGGTATTGCTTGGGTTTATTCTAGGAATTTTCATTGTTTTGTATTCTTGCTCATTTTGTAGAAAAAGTCTATTTAATCTTGGAGAGCTACCTCGCAATCAACTTGGTGTGACTCAAACTATAATTTTACCTCCTAGTGCCAATACCATGTATTGGTAGGTGGAATATTTTTTTCCCCTAAACAATTTTTTCAAAGAACCAAAAAATCCCTTCATTAATGGATAACTAACAAAAGAGAATTTTTGCTCCTCTAAAAAGCTGTTTATGAAAAAAAAATGCTTCATTTATTAGTATAGGGTGCCCAACACTTCTCAAGAAAAGTACAAGGGCAAAATGCACTTTAATGCAAAGAATTATAATTTTTTTTATCATTTAATCTTTTCAAGGCTTAGAATGACAAGAAAAAGGAAAAATTTTAATCAACCCCTCTAACTTAGTTTAATTTCAGTCAGCCCCTTTGACTCAATTTAATTTCATCCAACCTCTCTAAAATTCTGAAATTTTACCACATATGTGGGAGATTGAAATAAAATTAACGAGCTAACTCAAATAACCTTATTGTCTTTGGTGAAATGAACAACTGATATATGGAAAATGAATAAATGATGTAGGTAGGATTTGCAACTTTCATTAACAACATAATACAACTATGAATATAAACAAATGAAACCAAACGTATGAACAACTTGTGTTGAGAAAATGAACAATTGATGTATGGAAAATGAATAACTGAAGTAGGTGGAATGAAAGTTATAAATTTATAGTAGCATTATGTTTTTAATGTAAGTTGCAAATTTCATCTATGTTAGTTGTTCATTTTTCATACATTAGTTATTCATTTTCTCTATACAAGTTGTTTATGCACTTAGCTTAAGGTCATTTGAGTCACCTCTTTAATTTCATTTCAATCTCCTATATATGCAGTGAAATTTTATAATTTGAGGGGTTTGATTGAAATTAAGTTGGGTCAAGGGGAGCTGAATAAAATTTCCCCAAGACAACTGTTTAAACTCAGAAAATAAATCAATCTGGAGAGCAAGTCATGGTTGTTTGGATTATCCCGGGCATGTATTTTATATATTTACCAACTAGTTTAGAATGTGCCAACGAAAAGGATAATTGTTTTGCATTTAACTGGTGTTCATTTCCAATCATGATCTAGTCGAGAAATGAGTTACTCTAGTAGAGGATTTTAGGTTTGAATCTGGATGCGTATGTTGTGATAAGATATTCATACATGCAATAATCATTAGCACTACAAGCCGTAATTTATATTCCAATTAATCTGTTAAAACAAATAAAACTTAATAAATTATAACGTCCACAGAAGCAGTCTCCATGTTCCTCTTTAGTTAATTGTCTATAAACATGCAGAGGATGTAGTTAGTATATAACCTGCTAAGAAATAATAGCCATGCAAAAAAGAAATGAGAGCAATAGAACATTTACACTCCAATATTAATTTCTAAAAGAGTGAGTGAAGTCACAGGAGCCCTGGACCAATATGTTTCTATAATATACATGTTAATCAATGCTACCAAGCGGTAAAACACATTACATCTCTATGCAGCAGCCTAAGCAAATCCTTGGTTAACTTGGGCACAAGGTGAGAAGTCAGGATGTTGTTCTAGTGAGTGAAAGAATGGTGGACACCATTAGCTTGAAGTCAATTGGCTTTGTTAAATAAGCATCCATGCCCACCTCCAGGCACTTAGCTTCATCACATGACATTGCATGGGCTGTAAGAGCAACTATGGGAATGTGCGAGCCAGTTCCTGCTTCTGATTTCCTGATTGCTTTCGTGGCTTCATAACCATCCATCTTCGGCATCTGAATTTTCAATGGCAGAAGCAATTAGATTTACAAATCAGAAAGCAGCGTTGCTCTCTTTCGAAAATAGCCAAAGAGTAACAGGAAGAATAGTTAATAACATGAATTGCAGACAAGTCCCATTTTTCATTGTATTTTGAGTGACTCGAATTAGTTGTCTTTTCTTAAGTTGCTTGTAGGTGTGCTTTTCCTTTACACATCTATTTTCACGATAAAATCTTATCAGGAAGTAGTGCTAAAGTTTGATCTGATACCAGCTATTAAAAAAATAAAAATAAATAGCTACTTGCCACATTGAAGAAACTTAGAGAAAGTAGAAAACAAAGCACCGGTAATGTATACTTTATAATCGTTACCTGACAATCCATTAGAATCAAGTCATAAGGCGTACAACTGAAAATTTCTGTTTGAGATATTGTGCTTCTCTCCTTCATTAGAGACTCCCTTCTACTATCTTCAGCGCCGAGCATGCAATTCAGAGCATCCACAGCCTGCTGTCCATCACCTACAGCAACAACTGTAGCTCCCATTTTTTCCAACATTATGGTTGCAACTCTTTGAAGCACTGGAGTGTCTTCTGCAAGCAATATCCTTAAACCTTCAAGAGATTTCTTTCCATTAACAGTTTTACTTGAGCAAGTGACACTAAATGTTTTCACAGAATCAGAATCTTTTCCTTGAGCTTCTGTTGGAAAGGGTCCTTGTAATTTTGGTTCCATGTCTTCCAGGATGTCACGGCAGCTGGGGCTGCTCTGACATGATTCTTCTTTCCTTGAAATGTTATCTTCCGCATATTCATTGGCTAATCCAACTAAGCAGTTGTTTATGTTGTACTGTGATGGTGGATGGGATTTTACAATTTTTTCCCTTTGTTTAGCAACATTGGCACTATTAGAAGCACCGTTTTCGGATATGTCAGAACCATCAGAGCTAACACCATCAAAATGAGTAGAATCAATCTCCAGAAACTCGTGTGCATCATCCTCTTTCGTTGTGGTTCTCGAAGCAGTCAAAATTTTCTTTTGCAGCTCAATATTTCTCTCCTTTATGACAGCTTCCAGAATATGAAACATTTTGGTTTTGTAGAGGGGCTTGTTGACCATCAATATATGCCCCATCCTGCGAAGCTCCATCTTTATGGTATTAGAGGTATCGTGACTTAGCACCCATGCGAACTTTGTTCTCCCAAAGTACTTGTGAAGGAAGTTGAGCTGTTCCTTCCATATATCTGTGCTCAAATCAAGCAGCCCTATGTCCACTATAATGACAAATGCTGGGTTCCTCATTTCTTCTATGTTGAGTAATTTGGACTTCCAACTCTTATTTACTGCATAATGTGCATCAAAGCCATTATTTTGGACTGAACTTGCATGGAAGAGTTCCCTAAGAATTTGTGTCAGTTCATTCCATTCAGATGCCTGCAGAGTGCAAACCCCATTTTTCTGTAACCAACTAGATGTGATAGACCGACTCGTGTCTCCATGTAGTGCAAGCAATACCTGCAATGAAATTTCTACTTTCAGAGTCTGCGATGATCTTCTGCTATTCACTAAGCATAAGATTGTTCCTCCTTGGGTTCTCAAGAATGTATAGCCCATCACAATCAGAAATAATTTTTTTTTTTTTTAAGATGGTATTTGCAAAAGAGTGCGATTCTACTCACCACTAAGCCACTCTCCGCATAACCTATTTGACAATGTTGTTCTGTGGCATCCATGGGTGTAGTGAGAAGCAGGTACAACCGCATTAAGGTTCCTGGGCCTTCCTTTTTGACAACCTTGATTTCTCCACCCATTTTATTGACCTACCATTGAAGAGTACCAATAAGATCAACAGAATTATATTCAATTTAGCAAGCTTGTATGTCGCTTAAATAGGAAAAAAAGGCACATACAAGAAAAATACTAAAACCCTGAGATGAAAATTTTATTTTATTTTATTTTTTTAAAGAACATGAGCATAAAGCTCTAACCAAAGTTTTAAACAAGCAGTTGATATTGTGAATAGTAATTATCTTGATTTGTCAGAAATATCACATACCAAGGTTCTCACAATGCAAAGCCCAAGACCGGTGCCTCCATGCCTGAAACGGGAAAGGATTGAACCACTGCTTAATATTCACCCATTAACATTAAAATATTTGACAACTAATAGATATAGGTTTCATAAAAGTTTGAAAGTGCAATGGCAATCACATATGATAAGGATCATAATGTACTTAATTAAATTTGAAGTTTCTTACAGCCTGGTGGTTGATGGATCTGCTTGCTCAAAGCTTTCAAACACAGAATCCCATTTACTTGGATCAATACCTGTAAAAGACATGGAATGCATGCAAATGAGTTAATCTTAAAGCTAGTTTTCCCGCTTTTGGCATGTATGTATGTTTCTCAATGTAGTATTTCCAGATAATTTTTTAGATTCATACCACAGCCTGTGTCATCTACTTCAAACCAAAGAATTATTTGGCTGTCTTTTTTAGATGCCTTCTTTGCATGGTTTTCTTGTTGCTTCATTCTGGTCTTTTGTGGAGTCCGGGACTTCTGATTAAGAGGAAGAATTGGGCTATCACTGGAACAATTTGGGTTCTCGCACCATCCTCGAAGAATAATGTGACCAGCTGTGAGCATTTCAAAGAGTTAAGATTAATCTCCGTTCAGAATTTTGGTGCTTTGTCAAGGAATGTGCTGATAACACCAATGCAATCGCATGTTTCCCTCTATGAATATATAGCTTGAACTTGCTAACTGCACTTGTGGATTTCTTTCATTGTAAGAAAATGACATCATTCTAAAAGAAGAGGGGTCAGATAAGCTACGACTAAAATAAAAACTTGCATAATGTGGGAACTACCTACATAAAAACCAAAACTAACTCTCAAATTGTGGTGCAGTCATTATGTAGCCCCACTCCTAAGATAAATGCCTGAAAAGAAGAAGCCTTTTATCATCTTCAAACTCCATGTTTTTAGAAAAGCAATGGGTCCAAGAAATAATTAAAATTTGGCACTTGCCCTTTTGGGGTGTTGAATATCGAAGTCAAAAGCCAACTTCGGAACTTTGTTAGACTTTTCTATAAGGTCTAACAGTTAAGTTTCATATACTTTCCCTGTTTCTTGAGTTATAGTATTAAACAATTTATTGCAGAAAGAAGAAGATGGAAGGAAAAGTCCGACTTACATGGAGTAAACTTAATTGAATTGTTGATCAAATTTGCGAAAATTTGAACAACCCTAGCAGAATCACCTTGAACTACCTTTGGCATATCATCTGCAGAAAAACAATTATCAGCTGCATGCATCAGAATATTTTCGCATGAAGCTGACAATCATCTAAATTTTACTGTGAGTAAATTCCTCAATGCAAGAAAAATATGATTCATACCTGATAGGTCCAAAACAGTCTCTACGTTGTGGTTAATGCATTGCACAGAAAACATATCTACAAGCCCTTCAAGTTCCCGTCCCAAGTCAAATTCTGCATTTTCTAACACCAATTTTCCAGATTCCACCTAGATTCCATAGATTGTTAGGAATTTTTTTTTTCAGCCAAAATGCAGTTTTGTTAGAGGCGAAAAACACTAAATTTATTTTCAGTAGATAACTGGCGGTGTGATGCTCTTAAAGGAAAGGCTCAGCTTATGCATATCTCACCTTGCTGAGATCCAATATGTTGTTAAGAAGACGGAGTAAGGCAGTTGAGCATTTTCTGATCTGAGAAACTGTTGCATATTGTTCATTTGTAAGACAATCATCAGATATAAGAATGTCAAGCAACCCAATCACTGCTGCCATAGGTGTCCTCAATTCATGACTGCAATGTACCCAAAAAGAAATATGAACATATATTTTGAGCATAAAAGGCAATATGTTCTTAGACGAAAGAACCCAATGTCACAAACAATGAAGTGCATTAATGTTAAAGTTAGTTTATCAAAGAAAAAAATCAGACCAGAACAAAAAAATTGGCGGTGTGGCATGAAAGAATGATCATGGTTTCAAGAGGAAAAAATCAGCTAGCGCATATAATTCAAATCTTCCCAAGATAATGCTGAAGCTCGATCTCTCACACCTCACCTGACACTAGGCATCACCCAATCTGTTTAGTTACAAAATCCTATTGCACCTATTACTGTTTGATAGCCTATGAATCCCCCCGTCTAACCCAAATTTAGCAGATTAGGTGAAAACGAACATTTTTTATAGTCAATCAATATTACCAATTCTCCACGAGCACTAGTCATGATGAAATGAAACAGGATACTGCATATTCATTTTGCTCAAGATATAATGGCAATTCGCTGGTCCTGTCCAAAATTTGAATGATTGGCTGTAGCTGTATCCATTGACATGATTGAAGAATTATGGCAAGTTCTAGTATAAAGTTGCTTGCATCTACTGTCATAATTCATAATAGAATTTTGTTTATGGAGGTCAAGCAACACATTTTGTTCAATTCACCGAGATCAGACACCTATAAGCTTCTGATCAACCATCGGCTACATTGTTTCTTGTCCTCTAAATTATATACTACGAGTTGGATAAAGTCATTACATAAGTTTGTGTAACATGATAAATACCTAAACTGCAGAGATTTTCAGATTTTTTTCCCTCAGTAGCAGTTAAGTGAGTAATCTTTAAAATTTATTGTGGCCAAAAGAGTTACCCTCAGATTAACACCAAACAAGAAAAACCAACCTCATGTTTGCAAGAAACTGACTTTTATAGTTGCTTGATGCCTCTGCCTTCCTTCTTGCTTCCAGATGACTGATTAGTTCTGCTCTTAGTTTCATTTCCTTTGATACCCCGTTTGTCAGAATTAAAATGCAAACACATCCAATGACTAGAATACACAACGATGCAGATATCAGAATAACCAATGTTTTGAAGGCTCTTTGATCAACCTTCCCCATAATATACTTTCTTGGAATAATGATAACACCCACCTGCAAAAATTAAATCCGGTAAATTGTTAACACTGGGAAGTTATAACAACATGGTTAGTCAAACAACATAATGATATAGTGTCAAAAAATTTTCCTGGCATATACTTAATTTTTACATTTCAAAATGAGCAATACATAAAGATCAAATGTAATGAATAGGTGAACTGTCATCAAATTTACCAGAGGAAGCCTCTTCAAATTTAGAAAGAATGAGTCGATGTAATATTGCTGACGACCTAGCTCAACATTCTCGACGTGAACCCCATGACTTGGAGGAAAATTCTTCCCATAGGTTCTCTTTAGCCACTGGGCTCCCAATCGTATCACATCATCTTCACAATCAACAGCCATCTTAAGCTTGAGAGGCTTTGAGTATGTCAGCAGTGGAGCATTAGTGGAAGTGGCAAGTAAGTAACCCTCTAGGGAGGTCAAATAGATATAACCACTATGAAATTCAACTAGTTCTTTCATTAGCTGCCCAACACTATAAAGTGCGGTAGTGACACCCACAACTGCCACAATGCTCTTATTAGAAGAGTCCCAAACTGGCAGCGCCGCAGAAAGCAATGGTGAATCCGTAAACTTGCTCACAGCAACATGCCATGAAGCTGCCCCATCAGGGACTTGAGAAAGGCCAGCAATATTAATCAAGTCTTCTGGTGCAATCTTCTTAGCTTTTCCAATCTTCTCACCACTAAGAGGGTCAAGTGGTTCACGATACCAATTTGCAGAACTGTTACCACGAATGGCTTCATCGTTCCAAGCTTGATGTGTTGAGAGTGATTTCATCTCATTAGCGGCACTGGCACCTATAGAGTAGTTTGCAAGATCAGAGTAGATGTAAAATGTATTGTTATCCTTAAGATCTCTGTGGAATGCCTGAACAAAGCCATTCCTGTAATTGATCGTTATTGAATTGAGTGCCTTGCGACTGGAAAAGAGGGCCCAGGTTACAGACCTCATAGCTTCGTACAGCTGCTAAGGGTAGGAACATCACAAACAAGCAATAGTCAATACTCCGAGTGTCCGAAGCATAATAAGAAATATTAAGAACATAGCAAGAGTACAATGACTGAATAAACAACCTCAACTTGTTCTGCTTGATTGGCGGGGTTGCTGTATCGTCTGATTACATATTCAGACAGCTCAACCTGAGCTTTTGTAATTTCAGCAGTAGAATTCAAAATATTCCACATCCGTAAGATGGGACGTTGCAGTAATTCATAACGAAGCCCATATGCTAAGTTATCAAGTGATTTTGCCGTATAACTCTTCGTGAAATGCCATGTTAATATAGTGAGCAGCCCAATCAAGATGGCTAGCATGACCTGCATAAAACAAATCAATTGTCAGGTTCTTGTCTTTTCTATGAAGCGCGGGCAGTGATTTCCAATCTCAAAAGACTCACAGAAGCTGGTTCAGCTTCACTAGCTTTCTTAAATTAATCTGGCTTCATTAATCTCATTGGAATAGCAATAAGAGTATCATTCTGTGTTAACCATTCATTAACCATGGATTCTACTACACAATTAAGAAAACTCCTCAGAATGGTGTGCGGATGGATATTTAGGTGGGTGATGGAAAACATTCACCGACCATGATTGCTAGGCGAACCACGAACACACTGTAGTAAGAAGAGAGGCATTGAGTACTAGCATACTGGAATTCTTCTTTCTCGACATCTCTGTGGAAAATTCTTCGACCACGCGGTGCGCCGCTTCTCTTCCAAGAAGAGGTAAAAGCCCATAGTCTATCAAACACAAGTCTGCATCTGCTACCCATTGGTGAGGTCGAAGCCGGTGAATAAACAGAATTCTCAGCAGAAATTTCCTCTATATCGTCGTTAGCTGCCATGACTTAGCGGAGGGTGTAAGCTTTTAAAATAGACATGAAGAAGAACAGTTAGTGTTTATGCTCCTCTAGTGTACGCGCATCAGACAGACGGAAGCCACTAAGGCTGAATGTTTTAAATAGATGAATTGTGTCATATCCCACTTTTTGGTGCTTTGGGCGTAGTTTTTATTCCTTATCCACCACAATCCGCCAACCCATCTTTCCATTTGGCCAAATCTCAACCGTGGCACCGTTGGAGCCACCTATTACCAGGAGCAAGAAACTATCACCAATCAACTTTTAAGTGGGTGCTCAGAACCCCACACTTCACTTGTCACCGGTGTCTTGAATATATAAACATGTTTACGCTATGACTAGCTGGTCCCTAAAAGGTTAGGACCTAATTTAATTGGTCTTGATAAATTTAATTACATGTTAAGACTAGCTGGTCCCTAAAAAATTAGGACCTAATTTAGTTGGTCTTGATAAATTTAATTATATTTTACAGTTTTATTTTACAAGATGCAACTTTGACTCTCAAGGTTAAAGAGTCAGTCTTGTGAATCTCGATCCTTTTTTTTATTTGTTTAATTTAAAAACTTAAAAAACATATTTATAATATTATAAAAAAAGTTAGTACATATAATATTAAGTTTAAGAAAATAAATTTAAATCAATCCACATTACAACAAATATGTAAAACTTAAACATTTAAATTTAATATCAAATAATGATATTAAATTAATATTAATAAAAATTAGACTTTGATAATATGATTAGCTTAGTCTTAATGAATTAATGGGGGAGGGAGAAATAAATCTAAGGTTTCATTTCTTTTAGTTAGATGCTTAAACTTTCACTTTTCTCATGTTGAAATTTTAAAAAAAATAATAATAAAAAGGTTTAAAAAGGGTTGTCCTTTTATTTTTGAACTTTTACCATTTTTCTGTTTTAATTATTTTAGGATTTAAAAAAATTAACGTAATAGTTTTGACTCTAATTAATAACTCTAGTATCTTTCAATCAGAACAGAGGAAGTTTATTTTATGGTGGGTTTCATAATGATGTTTTTGGCGAAGAAAAAGAAAAAGTATAGATAGGACGCATTTCATCGTACGAGATTTAACCTTCTATATACCTTACACAACATTGCTAATATTTGCTATTCTAATTCTAGCGTGGTCGTTATGGCACCGCTCTTTTTGATCAACGCAGCTCTTTCTTTCTGCCACTCATCATTTTCTTTTACTGTTATCATTGCTCATCCCTCAATTTATATATCCTAATATAATATAAAACTTCTAGGCTGGTACTTGATGTCTTCCGTCTTTCTAGTTCCAAACTTAATCTTAAAAAAACAATGAGTTTAGATTAGTGGTTAGTGTTCTGGAAGTTTAAATTTCAAGATATTTCGCTATGGATTGGGTTTAGTTCAATGGCAAAGAGTTGCACCCGCTTAATTTCACTTTCACGATATATCGGTTCTTGATTGAATATTAGTATTTTACTTATTACTTTAATGATTTTTTATAAGCTAATATTTTTTTTTATAAAGTTTGATTCTCTTAAAAAAAATGGTTACAGTTAATCCAACTTTCATGTACGTAGCAATTCAATTGGCCCATTGCTATCAGTATTTTATGGGAGATATTTTTTGGCTATCCATGAAGCGTACTCTTTATAAATAAATAATAATAATAATAATAATAATAATAATAATAATAATAATAATAATAATAATAATAATAATAACAACAACAACAATATAACATGAACAAAGAAAATAAAAAATGTTACAAATTAATGAATAATTATGATACCTGAAATTTAAATGATCAGCACAAGATATGCTCCTTGCAATCTCATATACAACTCAATCATATAAAAATGGATTATTAATTTGGATTGTTATTTTTTAACTTTATCCTCCCACAATTTTTTATAAGTAGAGTAATAATTTTTTTATTTGTAAAACAAATAAAAAATTACAAATGAAAGAGAAAATATTTTTTAAAGTGATATATTTAATAAAGACAAATTAAATTTTTTAAACAAAATTAATAATTTAATTATCTCTTCTTAATACTGATGGTTGGGTTATTCAAATATAAATGAAGTTGAGTCGATATAGAAATCACATATTAAATAAAGTTAGGTTTAATGTAAAAAGAAAAGCCCATCATTTTCAAGAGTGACTTATACCTCTGAATGGGATTGAAGGAAATATCTTGTATAGCCAGTTGCATAAAATATATCTTACCTTTCACTCTTTCAGTAAGATCTATCCTTCCTTCTCATCTGTTAGTGTCTCAAAACGAATCACATGAAATTCAATGTTCGTCGCATCGCGGGTACTTTTATAAAACTGATTGCGGCAAAGGTTGCTGGATTTCATTTATTCATTTTTAAAACAAAATTATTTTAATTTAGCTTGAACCGAACTCCGTTAAAACTAAATACAAGATCATAAACTCTAGTCAAGGCTAAATTGTATCACATGATGAACACGTTTGGTTTGATCATTCATGAACGCCCAAGATAGCTTCCTCAAGAGCTATTACCAGTAACATATAAAACGTAATCATGCAAGCCAAAAACTTTGATTAATTTATTAACTCAAAGTAGTCCTTTCCTTCCTCAGGCCAATCCTTCAGAGACAGCTACTCTTGTCTTGATGAAAACGTCAATATATATAACCAATAAAAAAGGTGAACGAAAAGGGCTACAAAGATTGGTAAAAAGGTTTCACCAACTACTTTCAAGAGCGTCTTTTGCTCTTTTTCTTCTTCTCAGGCAGTAATCATATGACTGATTCAGAAATGAGACTGTTCGAGCCTTTGGCGGCACGTCACGGGATGATAGGATCCGAATCTTCCTCCCGAATAGAGATAAGTAAATCGTTTGTAGAAAAATTCTCTCTTTTCGTACTGCTTCTGCTGCTTCGTGAGCACAGTTCAAAAGCTAAAATATGCACATATATATTCTAGCTATATCAGCACCCAAAAGGTTTGTACATTAATACTCTTTGTTCAATTTCGGGCTAAAATGGATATGAAAAAAATGAACACATAAAACTGTGTTTTTGCATCCCATGCCTAACATATAGAAAGCAGTTCTGCTTCTGGTGCCTAAAGCTGCCGGTCTCTTATGGGGCTCTAAAAGTTGGAAGTTCCTTTATGTGAAAAAACGTCTTTGGCTAAAGATTACCAATATACTGGCTTTGCCAATAATCAAGGCTGCTAGTACATATAAAGTATAAACTAAGCTAATCTCATTGGCAAAGGATAAACCCAAGCAGACTCATAAAAGTAAACAATCTTTGTGGAAGATGTCAAGCAAGAAAGCCTAGCGAGGTGGGTATTATTTTTTGTGTGTGAAGTGGCGGTAGCTGGTGATCAATTTCTCATCATAAAATAAGAGCCAGTGTGGGTGGCTGAGAAAAGAAAACATGGCTGATCAACTGTGGGCCTGGCAGGCGTGCACTGGGTGTTTTTGACTTGGCTGAATTTGAGATCCTCCTCTAGAACAAAGCCTTTGTGCTCCGACTCAGTAATCCATAAAAACCCCTTCCAGTGAGGCTTGAATATAATTAAAAACACAAAACGAAGCACTAGAGGCTAAGGATTGAGTTCTATTTAAAGGTATAGTGGCTAAAAGTTTGAACTGCTTGGTGATAAGAAAAATGAAAAAATCTCCACACTATTCAATTTCCATTGCATGGCTAAAAGAAGAACTGAATGAGAAACATTATCATCCATCAGCAAGATCATCTACATATTCTCTTGTCATTAAATAAAAAACAAGTGGAGAAATTTACTTCTTGTACTCAAACTCTTGCCTATTCTTCCTTTGTAGAGTCATTTGATCCTGCCCATGCATGTACTAATTTGTGTCTATCCTGCTGCAAATCAGTATGAGTCTATCTCAATATTTAAAGGCTAAAGATACACAGAAAATAGCATTTCCAAATTCACAAGGTGGGTTGACCACTAGAAATTGTAGAGCCACAAAATGTGTTCCCACAAGAGGCTCTTGCAGTGCACAAACATATCGGCATGAAGAAAGCAAGCACTAGCAAATTTGATATGTAAAATGTGCGGACCCTAACAAAAGAGAGAAAAGGTGCGAATTCATTCACATTCAATAGAAAACTTTGTAATTCTATTCCCAGAATACAGTTACAAATTATTGGGAGACCCCACCCAAAAAAAAAAAAAGAAAAAAAAAAGAAAAGGGAACTAATTCCTGATGTCCGTAGACAAAGTGGAAACTCTCTGGTTTCCAAAGATAGTTTCGACAGTCAAAAACCCCTTTACTATTAAGGGCAGTTATAGCGGTCCTCTTTATTAGAAGAAATTGCAGGAATCACTTAGCTAGTCAATCGGTGAGAGATTATGATAATTCAAGAGATTCAAGCCAATCTGTAGTGTGCTGAAAAAATCAGTATGTTTTCCATTTATTTATCCTGGACGAATCCATCATACAAGATCATTAATATATATGGGTAAATTAAGAGGTTGGTCATTGAAAGACACCAGTCCCACCTCTAAAAGTGATAAGACAATAGCTTAAGCTATTTTTGTGATATGGACAACTTCAAGAATAAAACCATACCCCAAACCCTTCCCAATTAAAAATGAGTGTGAGATTGCATTGTAAATTTGTGTGTCAGCTTAAGTTAGGATTAAATTTTCAAAGATTAGACTGAACCTCCCAAATTTAAAATGCTATCCTTAACTGTGTTAATCAAAACCAAAATTATGTATTTTTTAAAGCATAAGGCTAGATTGATGACAGCAAGCTTTTAAGCATATTAAATGAATGGCAGCAAACCAGCAGTATTTTTATTGAATTCAAACCTGCTGCAATCATAAATATAATCAACTAGAAGAGATAGACAAAAAAGAATGATACGTATTTTTGTTTTTCAATGGATGTTATTATCTTTTAATAAGTTCATGTTTCTTTTTCATGTTCAATTCTGGCATATTAAAAGAGATTTATTTAGAGGTTTCATTCAAATATTTAGTTATATCAAACGACACTTTTAAATTAAATTTCAATTTATTTTTCTATTTCAATTCCATTTCTTTTTCCCGTACCATTTCTTTTAAAATGCTTCTAGCAAACCAAACGAGTCCTAAGCCTCATATATATTCACAAATCTGGATAGATTGATTAAAAGAACAAAATTATACATAAATAACATGGAGGAATCATGAAAAATAAGCAAATATTCTGAAGATAAAAAAAAAGGGGGAGAATTTTAATTAGGGACTATAGAAAAGGGATATTTACCGATGAGTAAAGAGAGATATTTACCGATGAGTTAAAAAAATTGAAAATTCTTTGCAAGATTTCTAGATTAATTTAAAATAAAATTAAAAAGATTGAAATACCCTTTTGTAAAAGAAAGAAAAATGATTAACAATTGATATCAATAAATTAACAAGTAAAGTTAGAGAATTAATCAATAATGATTCTACATTTGGGACAAAATGATTGAAATAGTATGATATTGACAAGTCATGTAATTTATAACTGATATTGATAAATTAATAAATAAAAATTAGATAATTAACAATTGATATTAGAATGATTATTGATAAGTGAAGTCAGATAATTTATAATATATATTAATAAATTAACAAGTAAAACAAAAAAATTAACAACTAATGCTAATGCTTTTTAATCAAATTGAGTGAACAAGTGTCACAAAAGATTCACAAGTCAAATTAATTAATTAACAAATCGTATTAATAATTTAATAAATAATGTTCTTAAAATTATGATGTCACGTAATTAATTAGTTAATTATTTAACAAGTATTGTTAATGAATTGAAAAATATAATTAAACAATTAACAAATAAAGTTAAGTAGTAATTAAGTATTTGTTAATTTTATAGAAGGACATTTTAATCTTTTCAACTACTCATTTTATTTCAATTGAGTCAAGAAATCTTATAGAGAATTTTCAAATTTTTTTTAGACCCAGAGTAAATATCTCTCTTCCATGGTTTTTAATTAAAATTCTTTAAAAAAAAAACAAAAACCCCCCAATTTAGCATAGCCAATAGTTTGTGAGTAATATAAAAAAGGGTTGGGCTAAAGATCGATATACATAGTATACAACGAGGACAGACTAAGTTTTAACACCAGCAGTATTCGATTCGCAGATAAGACTTTAAATTTTAAAAAGTTAATAGCAATTGAAGTTGTAGGGCTTGCGGTACAAACGAAAGGGGAACATCACCATCAGAAGATAAATGCTCCAATAATGGCTCCTTGCGACCGAGAAAAAAGGGGGGATTATTAAACATCTGCACCCGCTAAGGGTGGCATGAGGACGACGTATCCCAGATTCTGCAGCTGAGAATCAATCATATATAAACAACACTTCAATAGCCACTGGGTCCACCACGAGAGACACATATCTGAGACGGTGATGGCCAGAGACTAACGGTTAAAGGGCACACGGCGAACAAGCTTAGTAATTTTTTTAATCTCAGTGCACGTACTTTATATCCTTGGTATTTTAACCTAACGAGGCCCTAAGGTCACCATCGCTAGCTCTTGGTGTGGATGATCTTTAGCTTTGATCCTACGAGGAGAATGATGATCACTCTGGCAATTTCAGGGTGTCCGTGGCTGCTGGCATTATTTTATAGCTTCCTCCCCAATCCCTCCCCCCACCTTTTAAAATAATAATAATAATAGTAATAGTAATAAAACAAAACTATTTTTCTCCTGCAAGAAGTCGCTTGGACTTTCACTTTTTTTTCTGCAATTCATTTTTTTTCTTTTTTTCCTTTTCTTTTAATTCAGCTGCCGCAGCTTCAGCAGCAGATTTAGCCATAACAGGCCTAAGAAAACCCTTCGGAGTAAATGCCTGCCGAATCTTCAAAACAGCCCATGCGGCCCCCACGGCATGACCAGCAGCGTCAAGCCCTTCATTCGTTGCCTTTGCAGCTTCTTCTCCATATCTGCATGACACACATTCATCCGACTTACAGTCAACATATAGGAAAGCATGATGGCACAATAGTCCCCGCTATGCATGCTTAAATTCACAAAGTGATCCTTGTAAACCGAACTTAAATCTAGGAAAGTATAATTTAATTTTATGATATTAATGTAAAAGGAGTCGAATTATTTGGATGCCAAGAGCATCAAACGAGGAAGGCAAAAGCAAAATCAATTGCCACTACTTACCCCAATTCAACCTTCACTTGCTTCTTTGCTAGGTTTTACTTGGCACACTATACATGCGTTTAATGTAGGATGCAAACGCTTGAAATTCTAATGTTACCTTGAATTCCTTGAACCTGATGCCAAGGTATTTTACGTATTAGAGGTAAAGTTACTGGAGAACCAAGTCCCCACAAAAGTCACCAACATTTTGTGTGTGGGTGCGTTTTTTTTTTTTTTTTTTTCCAGGGGGGATGTTTGAGGGATGGCATCAATGGAACCTCACCTGTGATTCACAAGGTCAGTTGTCACGGTAGACGTTGTTGACATGACATGTTTTCCAGATACCTCAACCGCATCACACACCTTGGCTATTTACAAGAGAAACATGATGTCAAGTTTAGAATCCAAACTCTTCATAGATAGAAATGAAGTCAAACTAAACTAAAGTTCCATGAATTCTATCCATGTTTTTTTACTTCTTACTTATTTTAAATTGCAATTTCACCGAGAGCATGTTCTTAAAGTTCTTGGATTTACTGCTTAGCCTTGCCATCAAACTTTTATGTTCATAAACTCAATTAGTCCCTATTGCCCGCGGAGGATCTTTCTAGTCTCTTTTTTCTTTTTAAAAAATAAAACTAATTAGAACATCATAAAAGCTGTCCACCATGACATATTTAGATTTTTCTTTTGGTATGAATATATTCAGATTGCTGTTCACAACTAAAAATAATGACTCATGTTTTCTTTTTATTTTCCATACCGACAGGTGGAATTTATGCTCATTTTCATAAGTAGCTTCATTGCTAAGTATAAAATGACCTAATACTCCTGCATAATTATGTCTTATGCCTTTTTAAATGAATGCGTGTTTTTTACACTCACCTGAAAATAAAATTTACTGCAGAAGAATTTGCAATATAGAGGGTTATCTAATATTCCTTGAATTTTATAGAGGGTTATCCCTTCTTTCTTTATTGGTAGATGCTTGTCTAACTCTGAGAACTCACAATTCAGTAACTAATGTTATATGAACACACTAAAACCGGGGAATAAAATAGCTGACATACCAAATCCATCTAAGGATGCAAGTAAAACTTCTTCGGGTATAAGCTTGATTATTTTCTTTCCTGTTTTTGTCTTTGCCATAGAACTAGCAAATAGTCCAGAGACTTTCACGACCCCAGAGAGAAGCCCACTAGCCACTTTTTCTGTCATTTTAGTTACAGCCTTAACCCTTAAAAAATATCAAGCCGAAGGGGAAAATGTCAGAAGGTAAATGGGCAAATCGATCCAACCATACCAAAATGAAAAAAAACTCCTTTGCTCAAAAAAAAAAGAAAAAGAAAAAAAAACTCCATCAAACCTAAAGCAGCAAACTCTAACTTTCTTAACTAATTAATGGGTTATTAAATGTACTCCGCAGCAGGATGTAGAAAAGTCCCAAAGTAATTAACTCCCTAATAAAATGGCCATATAAAATACAGAAGGATAAAAACTTCAGTTCCATATTTCAGTAAGCAATTCCAAATCCATCATAATATTAACTATAGATCTCAGACTTTAGTCCCAATAAATAGCATACATGCTCCTTAGCCAAAAGAATGTCCCACCACAAGTGAAAAAGAGGATAAGGCCAGATGAACATTTGGGACCCTCAAAGATAAGTTTAGTGAAGTTTCTCTTTCCTCGATCCACTCCATTCTTATTTTCACATTTTATATAACCACCAAACCACCAAACAGCTGTAGTCAAATCTCCATTTTGATTATTAGAATTTTGAATGTCTTTGCTTCGGAAACATGTTTGAACGTCGAATTAAAATATTTAGGGAAAAAAAGAATTATAAGAATAAATTGCTACTTGCTTTGTTCCAAGAAGATAATGTGTTTAAGCAAATCATTCAATTTAAGTATTTGTGACTAAAAATGCTCAAGAACCAAACAACATTACGCATACCTTTTAATCCGCTTTAATGTTTCAGGACTAACTTCTGTATTTTCACCTGGAGCCATCTTCGTCTTCAAAACCTCATTTCCCACTTTCAACCTCTCCGCCGTCACATCGCCACACCAAAGTATGCCCTTAATTAGGTGACCAGATCCCTGTGCAATCAATCTTGCAGCTGCTCCACTATAGTCGTCCACATTTGGAGCTATTGTGGTCCAATATGCAGCGCAAGTCCCCTCCATCAATTCCTTCTTCTCCCCTGAACTCAAATCTGCAGGAGACATTTCCTTGGCCACTGAGGTATCCAAAGCCTCTCCCTTCTTCTTCGCATTCTCAGACACCTCATGCACAGAGAAGTTACTATAACTCTTCAGAAGTGCATCCAACTCCTTCAACAGAGCCTCCTGCCCCTTGGACGCGATCGTCAACCCATAGCTCAACACATAGCTAGTAACATCCCCTTTACGGACCTCTCCCTCGTCACACTGATCGGGAAAGAAGAACGAGAAGAAATAATGCGAGTCGTCGACTTTAACCGCAGCCGTTTCCTTAGCCAAAGACCACTGAATCTTATTGGCAACGCGGGCGAGAACAGCGACAGCGCTTCCACCCTGGCAGAGACGGATGACCGTAAAATCTCCAGAAGCGAGCATGACGCTGTATTGCTGATCAATGAGGTTCAGAACAACACCGGGAATCTTGAGAAGAACATCTCCGGAAGCCGGGAACGCCTCTTCGTCGTGAACCAATGGAGGGGCAGAGAGGTCGTCTTCATGAGGCAACGGAGGGGCAGAAGGCGCGCCGGGAGTATAGTCATAAGGAATTAGGTTTTGGGCGAAATCGCTAGGGTCAATTGAGGGATAGAGATTGGACGAAGAGGAGGGTGGCGAAGAATTAGGGTTAGGATTTGGAAGTGAAGGTGCCGATGCCTCAGGTTTCGACTCGATTACCTCTGGGTACATTGACCTTGTACCTTCAAAAGGCTTCGTAGAAGCCATTGGCGTTGATGAAAGTGACTTGCAAGCTCAGATTGGAAATTTGGAAGCGGAGAGGAAGAAAATCAAATCACAAAGAGAGAGCCCTGTGTCGGGATGAAATGGGCAAATCATGAAACGACACGTGGCAACGTCGTGCTGATCACCGTTCTGAAGAGTTGTTTATAACCGCCTTGAAAAGCTTCCCGCGCGCATACCGGTATGAAACAACTATACATATATAAACACATAAAATTAAATTCTTTAATTTTATTTTTTCTTTATATAAACTCTATCTTCAATATAGATGGGTGTATAAATATATTTCTACCCTTAAAAAATATAAGATATTTTTAATTAAATCTCACCTCTCAATAAAGTAATTATCTATTTTCAAACTAACCCTATTTTTTTCATATTTACTTCTATTAAACACCTTATAATAAATATAAAGTCATTATTAACAGAGATAGTTTTAAAAAAAAGATAATTATTACACCTCAAAATACTAAAAATACTTTATATTTTTTAATATTTAATTCTTCAAAAAATACTTTACATTTTTTAATAAAGGGAATAGCATTTTGGCCAAATATATTCATGAGATCTAACAAAGATTGCACAAAACTTTCAGCAAAATAATGCTTTTTTGAGGAAAAAAATTACAAGAGTTGAGAGATTGTTCTACCATACAAATGAAGATAAGCACTTTTTTTTAGTAAGAGTAAAGATAGTATTATTGATCACACATCTTATTTATTTACATCAAATTGAGAAAAGAAATTGTTGAAAGTTCAAATTTACAATTTTAGTTAATTATCAATGTTTCGTTAATTTTTATAATGGCATACATGATGAAGTATACGTTTGAATTTGTTTATAAAAATATTCATGAATACCCAACCAACAAGCATATCATTTTTAAATTTTAAAACTAGCCTTGACCTCTTCCACAACAAATACATAGTGGATAGGAGTAAAACCATAGTTGATAGACCTAGTTAATCATAACCTGAAAACCAAAAATACAAAATAAATGAGAACAATATCAGACTTTTTTTTTCATATGTAGGGTGAACAAGACTGTTACAAGGAGCCCACGTTGTTGTGAATTGGGATGCAAGCTAAAGTCTAACAGATACAAACATATAGGTCCTATAATCTTGAATCATATGGAGTTGTTAAAACTTTAACAAGAAAGTGCGTATTTCCATGGGACCAAGCTCCACAATAAAATCAGACATGTTCACAGGGCTACCCTTTACGGCCTGAGGCTCTAGGCCGTTGTCCCCCTCAACCTCCCAACTCAGCTTCTTCATCTCCCACTTCTCTTGATTCGCCGATAAGCTCACTTCCTTCAACTCCTTTATCTGCCAAAGACAACACGAATTACCCACAATTAATACTCACAACATCTTCACAAGAATTGACTAAACTTGCGCAGACTAATGCTCGTCACAGAAACCACAGAAGCGTTACATTTTTGTTGGCAAACAGCTTCTTCAGTTCAACTTTGCTCAGGCTTGAATACTCAGCATCTTCACTCGGCTGACCTCATTGAGAAAAATATCATAAAAACATCCATGAGATGCAGGATACTGCTAAAATAACTGGGAAAAGCGACGACTATTGCATCAAAATATGTAGTGATTCAAAGCTTGGAACGAGCATGGTTCATCTGAAGTATGAGTGATCATAGCTAATTTTTACCTCGTATAAATGTGCCAATCGAAGAAGAACCGATCCATCGTCCAACTCCTGCAAAACTTATGGGCATGAGATTGACGGAGAGAGAAAGTATATGTCAAGTCTTATACATGTTCTGTGCTACTGATTGGCCTACCTGAAGGGTTATCAATGCAACATTTTGAGGCAAGTTATAGTTTGGATCCACCACTGTTCCTTTTGTCAAATACGCGGACTCCCAATTTTCCAATGTCTGATAAAGGGAAATATTTTAGCAGTTGCGATATGACACTGAAATTAAATATATATGAAGATGTTACAGTGACAGTGAGGCCATACATCTTGAGCAAAAGCCAGTAAAAACGGGGAGTAAATCTCCTGGCCAGTTGTACGGCGCCAACGGGCACCCGTTCCAAGCTGGTGGATGCTCATATAGTAATTTCCCCTGACCTGATACATAATTTAGAGTGACATGCTATGAGTCAGTAGATTAATCATTATCTAATGGTGGCCACCTTCCTAACGGTAGCAGTTGTGCTAATTAAGACTTAAGATGCATCAAAATACAAGTAATCATCCACGATGTCATACAGTTAGTCCTTCGCATCTGTTTTTCATGCAAACTTGTTCATCGAGCGCTTCACCTACTCCCCTACCATCATCAAAGAGAATCCGCCTTGAGTAGTAAAAGGCAACAGTCAACATTTAGGGGAGATAATATAGTCTGGAAACTGGAACTATACTGGGAAAGTATAATTTAGGCTAATATTGTACCTGTGAAGCATGAGTTCCACCTCACCATCTTGGATACTGGCTCCACCCGTGGCACGATCAACTAAGACTGATAATTCAGTTTTCTTGTCCTTGATATAAATTCCAAGATTAAGCTGGAAATGGAGAAAGTTTGAGTTTGATTATGACCAGCAAAATATATATATATATATTTTCTTAGCTCATTCCCTCTGCTAGAAACTCTTTTCTTTGCCTTGAGTTCCAAATGAAATTAATGGGGTTAAAATTTTACTGGATAATAGTTTCCTGCTATAGGTTGAGTAACTTGAAGGGGCCAATCTTCCCGGAAATCACGAACCTGCATTAACAGCAGAACAAGTCACCAGTGAGCATTGCACGTTTGCCTTTACAGTTCAACATTCTTCAGGATCGTTAGTGTACATTAGAGTTACCCGTTTCAGAAAATCTCTTCCGTTAGAATCAGTATAAAACTCCTTGTTTGTGACCATGTTTGCTGTTAAGCGTGTGATCACCTCCTTTCCAACTTGATCATCGGTAGGGATTGGACCAATCTTCAAAAATTAAAATTGTATCAGAAGCTGACTTGTGATTAAAAGAACTCCAGAGTAGGCCGTCCTTAACTTACAGTGAATTCAATTTCAGCATGCTCTTTATCTTTGTAAAGCCGGGTAACCTACAGATAAATAATCCATAAGAGACATTGGCCACGGTTTTTGCCTAAAAAAAAATCCATAAGAAAAGTCTACAAATAAGTGAAAACCACAAAATATCGTATAAGATGTTGACCTGATAAATCCAGGGATTAAACTGCTGGTGAACCTCATGTACTACTGGTCCACGGATAACCTTAGTAGGTACCTGTATTTTAAATTAAGTCAAAATTCATCAACGATAGTAGATATTTTGTGAGAAATTTAAAAAACTCATGGAGGGGGAAGAGATATAGAAAATATGACTAACTTGTCAAGCTATTTAACCTCATTTCTTGCGTCATCTTATATTCACAAGTAATGACAAATACCTTAATACATTGAAATATTGGTTGTGTTGACCCGTTGGAAAAGAAAAACTTACTGATCTTGAAACAATTGTTGGAGGGGCACCATTAGGTCGGAATATGTATGCACCAGATGCCTACACATGAGAAAACACGCCAATGAGGTTGAAAAATTCAATCAGTGCTTCTGCTTTTGAAGAGACACCACACACCTGACCATCATCGTCACCAGTGCTAGAACCATACCACAGATAGCTTTGTTGTACTGGTACATCAACCTAATAAAATTTGCAAATCATGAAATATTCTCCATTACACTACCTAAAAAATATCTCAATGTAAAGAACGTCGAGCTAAACTCATATCAGCAGCATAGTTTCCCTTAGACTGGCCGATGCATCGCAATGTCCGACTATGTTAAGAATTAAAAATGAGAATTCATCAAAAGATAGTCATTACTAATATGTACTTTTTACGAATAAATAGAACTTTTATTGGTGAAGATAATTGCATGCATGTCACCGTAGCATGTAGTTTATCAATTTATTGCAAGTAATAGTTCACTCAACAAAAACTGTCGGCATTCCTCTATGTCAGATGAAGATGCAAAATTACTCACTCCAGTTCTCGAATTATACATCCGTTTGAGTTGTCCCGAGGTTGAAGAAAAGGACAACTTCAAATTTCCTGGTCCAATTTCAATGTTTTCTCTTGTGAGGCTACTGCCAGATGAGAGAAGGCCGTTTCTTCTTCCACCTAATATATTTAAGAACCAAAAAAGCATATCAAATATTAAAATAAAAAAATAACAATAAAAGGAAGGAGGTAGTCTCTATGTTCCACTGTGGTTTCACATAATTAGTGCAATTCTCTTGCTTAGCCAAATTATAAGAAAATCCAAATATTAATGTAAGTTTTTTTTTTTTTTACCATCATAATAATAAAAATTATTCACTAATCAGTTAACGAGCCTAAAGGAGAAAAAAAGAGAAAGTCAGAACTTCACCTTTTCCTGGAACCTTAGAAATGAAGTATGTACTCCACCCAATTGGAGGCACAGATGCCTGAAAAAGAAGCCAGAATTTCGGGGCTTCTTTTGGTGACAATCCCAAATAAGCATTCACATACAATTTTCTTAAATTCAGCGTTACATTATCGATCTCCACTAATTGTGTTGCAAGATTATTCCCTGATGAATCTTTGACAACAAGGTTTGCATCATTAACCTATTGTAAAATTGTGACCATCAGATATGAACAGATATTATACAAAGAATGTAACAGCGCTTTTCCCAAAAAAAAAAAAAGAAAAGAAAAATACCCCCCATAATGCCTGGTCAGCTTAAAGTGAGTCAGCGCAATATATTGAGGATAACTGCTTCAATCCATAACAAAAGCTATTCTATGCATTCATTACTAAAAATAACAAGAAACTTAAAAATTGGCTTGCGTCCTAGCATTCATCCTTGACAGACAAGAAGGAATGAAAACCTCTCTAATTTATCCAACTTAGCATATGACAAATGACCTAATGCATCATGAGGTAGCAAGGTTAATGATATTTCGTAGGCTTAAAAATTCTTGGGATCTTAAATTTATAGTGATAGTTTAAGGTTTATGTCAATCACAAGGATTCTAAAGCAGTTTTTCATTAGGTGACTCTGTGGTAATCAATTTACGGCTCCTAAAAATACCATCTGAGTTTATTACCAAGAGACAACTCAGACAAGCTAAAAAATTAAAAAAGTAAATGGCAATATGTAACAGTCCCTAAAATATAAGATTACTCTAAATAAAGACACTTAGGTAGTGTTTGGATTAATGAATTTGGATTTGAATTTTAAATTAGAAATCTTGCATTTCAAATCTCACATTTCAAATCCATATATTTAAAATCATTTGTTTGGGTAGTTTAAAAAATTTCAAATGAAGAAGAGAGATGAATTGAGATTCGAAATGAAAATAAAAAAATATTTATTTCTATTTTTTAATCGACCAAAGATGAGAAAAGATACAAGAATTATAGAACTATCAATAGTAAAAATGTAAAGAGAATAAGATGTTTCGAGTGATTAGAATTTCAAATGACTAGGATGTAGAGAAAAATACAAAAAAATATAACTTGAAATAGATTTTGATTTGAACCAAATCCAACTTCATAAATTTTTCTGTATCTTTCATTCAAATCCACATTCAAAAATTTTTATGTATCCTTCATTCAAATCCACATTCAAAATTTTTTATGTATCCAAATGAGGGATTTAGTTCAAATTCAAATTCAAATCTTTATTAATCCAAACACACCATTAAAAGTTTTATGTGAAACTAGAGTCAACTTTATGATGTGAGGGGCAAGAGATGAATACTCACTGGAATTTTGATAATGTCAGTACGATTCCATCCAAGTGGGTTATATACCACTACTACCTGGAAGATATTATAAATATATGACACATAAGATTTGAGGAAAAATTCATGAAATTAGAAGAAATTATGAAAATATTACCAAACTCTTTGCTTGGGGAATATTTTCTTCTGTTATTGGGCAGTAACTGATATTGAGTAATTGACACTGTCAAAATCAAATAAAAATATTAAAACAAATAAGCAAGACAGCTTGAGAACTACGGATTATATTACCTGGGATATAAAGGCAGAATCATTTATTGAAAAACATTACCTGGGAAAATGTAAATGCAGGTGATGAACATTCTGTCCCTGGTTTTTTACTAGCAAGACAAGCCAAAGAAGAACTGACAAGAGCTTCAGCCTAGAAGAATACAAACAAAAGAATAAGTTCAAGGACAAAACAAATTACAAAAAATCAACTGTGGAAAAGCTCCAGCTCCTTACCTTAGTGGCTCCGATAGCCAGTCGTTTGGCATAGTCATTTGTAGTATGTTGTTTGGCAGTTCCGGTGACAGCGTCATGGTGTTGTGCAATCCCTAGAGCATCTCCGAGGCCAAAAGTGTGGTCTGTTGTAGGCTTCTGTCCCGCCAAAAATTCAAGTTGTCTGGATGCCTATATATCAATATTTGAAAATTCTCGATCATAAGTACAAAATCCACCTCAAAGCAGTATCACCTAAGTAACAAATTAGAGCGATGATGATAATATACCAAATAGTATCCACTTAGTGCCCTAACATATCGCTTCAAGGCTGGGCGGCTGATGAAAAAGCCTGTCCAATAAGCATTTGGTCTATCGGCATAACTGTCAGAAATCCGCAGGCTTGTGAATAAGCAGTTGACCCCACACAAACTAGTTCATAAATAGTAAAACTTTAACATATTCTTACGGGAAGTAATCATCAGTTTTCAGTGGCCATGACTGCTTTACAGCATTTTTTGCATTGGTGTAGAGAGATGGAGTAGAATACAAGGCATTCACTCTGCCATCCTGACAAGATTAAGCGCACATAAGACATGTATTTGAACTACTGCATTCATCTCATTTGCTTATTCCCTGATCATACACAGCCATCAATAGTTCAATTCTTACCTTATTAACATAGTGAATTAACTTGTCCATTTGCTTGAACCAATTCTCTGCATATTGGTATTGAAAATCATCACCCATTGTCCACATGATATGGTTTGTCCTTGTCACGTTTGCCTGTGATAGAGAACATAAATTGAGTGCTTAAAAGTTTTGAGGAGAAAAATGCACACATTATTCAGAAAAACCTCCAAGTTAAAGAGCCTACTTGGCTGATAGCAGCATTAATGAAATCATTGACTCGCTGTTCAACATTGTAATCAAATAGAAGAGGATCGTCCTGTAATTTATTTGTGCATAGTGAGAAATGGGCCATGTACTCCACAAATTTTTCGAGATTAAACTTCTTTTAGTGTTAAGTGGTAGAACCTGTACGGGGACGTAGTTACTGCTGACTTCAAAGCCAAAACCACTTGGCGGACCATAATGAACAGGAAAGGCATTGGCAAAAATCTGCAAAATCCCAAAAATGGGGAAAAGGAATGAAATCAATTAAACCGATGCTGTCAGTCATTTTAAGCAGAAGTGCCATCCATGCCTGAGCTGAAGAACCAAATGTCTTGGACCCACGCCAAACAACTTCAAGAGCTTTATTATTTTTGCGAACAGCTCTGTCCTGATAATCAATCCTAGCAAAATGTACAGAGTCGAATCCTAGCTGCAGAAGCATAAAAAGCCTATAATCACACAACTAGAATGCGAATCCAGATTCTCTAATGTCCAGGGTTACGGTATAATTAATTTAAAAGAGGGGGGAAAAGAGTTTGCGTTGAATGCGTAAATATGTAATTTTGGGGAACGCTAATAAAAGTGACCACAACCGAAAGGCCCACCTCGGCACCAAGTAGGTAAGCTTGAACTGCAGAGTGCCCGAATGGATCAATCTGCCAGCCAGCGCGAGGAGTCTTATTGAATTCTTGCTTGATAAAGCGATGCCCCAGTGTGGTTTGGTCAATCATGTCTATGTAGTGACACGTGGCTTCGTCGTGCATGCACCATCCTCCATTTCTGCCGACACAAAAATTTACATGATAGTCTGATAGATGGTGATTTTTCTCAAACAGAGAAACAGCAAGACGAAGAACAAAAAGCAGTTGACAAGTCTAAGAAACGAACGGCTCACTTACACGAATTCCAGTTGACCAGCATCTACTAGTTTTCTCACTTGTTCTTGCGTTTCTGGACTTTGTTCCACCCACCACCGATGGAAGAAGGCCTGTCATTTATTGAAGAATTTAAATTAGATCAAAATAATTTGCAGATTGAATGAATTTGAGTTGACTCTCAGGCATCCAATGCTCTTGGAATGAAAGTCGCGGATTTTTACCATCTCGGCGTACACGAACTTCCTATTAGGATCCCGCTGAAGAGATACCACAAGCGAGTCCAGCACATTCTCAACACATGCCCCCTAGAAAACAAGCATGGACTTTCAGAATGAAGAAAATTGAAAACTTTTAAAGACGAAAGACCGAGGCAAATCAGCGAGATTAAATTCTAGCCTGAAGACTATTATTTGATCCAACGTAGTACTGATCAATAGTTTTGAGCCACCCAACATCGTCATGGGTATGTGCCACCAAATGAACATTCAGTTTGCCTTCCACGACTCCGGCCCCGGTATTGTACTTGATGTAGTTGGCACAGGCTACAAAGCCATAGAAAGAGAGCAAGAGGAGAAAAACGGCGAGAGAGAGTGAAGTTAATGAGGCAGCTTTCCCTCCCATGTCTAAGGCACCCCTCAAGGACCAGTCTCAAGTGTCTCCGGGTTTGTGATACTCTGTTTAATTTGTGCGTGGGGGGAAAGAGAAGGCCAGGACAAGAGTTGGATAGAGCTTGACAAATGAGAAGAGATGAGGAAGGACTTTGGGTTCCGCCTACAATTGCCAGGCTAGGTGGAACGAGAGAGGGACCATTTCCGCATAATACAATTACAATGAAGCCCCACTCAATTGGAGGTGGAGGGTTCAATGAACTTAAAACTGTCTTTTCTGTTCTTTGGTTGGACTTGGAACGGGCGACTTTGATTCCGCGCGCTAACTTCCAAGCGTCGATGTCTTGCTTCCGGACAGCCGGACTGACATCCGTTTATTTATGCATGATATGAGGTGTTGACAAGGGTGAATGATGATTTTTTTCTCAATAAATATGAATAGTGTGAATTATAATTTTTTTTTTTTTATTTCTCTCCTAGGATGGCACATCATAGAGAATAAGGAAGCGGAATCCCAAATCGTAATCATGAGAGAAGACTGGTTGAAGAGTTGGAAGGGAAAAAATATAGAATTTATTCAAGTGGCTCACGTTGGACATTCACTTCTTTCTTATACAGAGAAATTCACTGAAAAAGCCTGAAATTTAGATGACTAGGTGTAACTTTTTTTTTTTAAGTAAACCTTAGGTGTAACCCAAAAGGCTTGATTATGAGAATTATTCATTTTATTTTTTCATACAAAAAGTTGGGGTAAGTTGGGTCCTAAAATATACTAAGATTAAAGTGTACATTCAGATTCAGGAGACAAAGTTGGAGTGAGTTAAGTCCCAAAATACACTAAAATTAAAGTGTACATTCAGATTTAGGAAACGCTAACAGATACTCACACCAACAAATTAATAATTAATAAATTAATAAATATATAAAAATATGGTATACATTGTATCAAATTTACTCATCCTTTGATTGCCTTGAAATATGTGTAGGTGTTTGACTATACTAAATAAAATATTTAAATCTGCTTCAAAAAAAATATTTAAATTATTAGCTTAAATACAAATAAAACAGGAAAATTCTTACTAAATATTACTTTAAAATTTTAAAAATACTTTTAACATGAAACAAAAAGTTTATCCTAAAAAACCAATAACTAAATGGGTAAATTTAAATTTAAGGAGTACTCTCTCATATCTTAATTATAGGACAAACTTTCAGAAACTCCTTTTTTTTTTTTTGTCTTGGATATAAGGTGAAGTTGAAGTAGTTAATTTTTTAAAAAATTTATCTCCTATTTATTCATCAAGGGACTAGTTATATTTATGAGAATTGAGTGCCGTTATAGATAATTACAATAAATTGTTTTTAAGTGCTTTAAATTCTTATGAATCAATTAATTACGATATTAATTATAAAGAATAGTAAAATTAAAAAAGTTGCGTATGTCTTAACAAATTTAAATTTAAATACTCTCTTAAGATCGCAATATATGGTATTTTATAGAAATATTGTTTGGTCCAAAATATATGATATTAAATAATTTTTATAATTATTTTTTAACTATACACATATTTCATTTTTTACTATTTTTGAAAAATGATGCATTAGAATTTAAATTATCATTATGAATGCACTTATATGAGATATTTTATAAGAGTATAATTGAATAGACACAAAATATTATAAGAGATTAAAGTTTCATCAATACATTATATTGTGATCCAGAAAAAGCATATACTCCCTATATATTACTTCCTCCATCACAAATTATAAGATATTTCTAGAGAATATTTAAAATTCTAAAATATAAAACACTTTGATAAAAATAAGGTTTCATTAATGATACTTTTTTAATATTATCCTTCCCATATATTCTCTCTCTTTAATATTTTTTATCAATGGAGTATTAAATGAAGAATATTTTTAAAAGTTTATATTTTTATCTTAAAAAAGTAAGGTTGTAAAGTGTATTTAATGAGTTTTATTGGTATATAAAATTTTGCCTAAAAGTGATTTATAATTTAAGATTGAGGGAGTACAATATAAGGTATTAGTAACAAATTTATAGTTCTCAAAAAATGTTAGTTGATAGTTGATATCTTAACTTTTTTAAAAAAGTTACATCTTTTCAATTATACCGTCATTAAATATTCTATATAAGTGTCTTGATAATGACAATTAAAATTTTAATACATCATTTTTCAAAGAGAGTAATAGATGAAGTAGGAGTATAGTTGAAAAAATAATTATAAAAATTACTTAATGCCCTCTATTTTAGATTAAATAATGCTTCTAAAAATATGCCCCATATTATAGCTAGATGTGAGTAATTATCATTCTTCTAATAACCACGAAGTTAATTGAATTTGTGAGAGAGGATGTAAGGTGTGGGATGCAAATGAGACTTTACGAGAGGGACTTCGTTATGTCACCTTACTTAACCATAGACTTAACTACAATTACTGAACTCTATCACGATAATTAGAAAGTAACCAATCCCAATTATCTAACCATACTAGAGAGTACTCAACTGTAGCTAAAAATAGCTAGCCATAGTAGGAAAAAAAAAGACTTAAGTTAAAAGTTCACTATCGCTAATATGATACAAGGCAACCGGACGATAGTTCACAATAATTTAAAATCTCACGATATGTTATTTCATGAAAAACAACACTAATTGAAATAGCCTCATAATTGAAAAAATTTATTTCATACATTCAAATCAAGTCTTTAAAATACAAATGGCTTAACTATTTAAATAGACTTCTAAAAACTTAAATGATGTAATTCTGGTTAATTTAGGATTCCAAATGGATATATTTTATTCTTATTTGAATTAAAACAAAATAAACTAATTTTTCTAAACTTAAATTTAAAATAAAATAAGATAAACTAATTTTTTAAATTTAAGAAAATAATAACTAAACTAATTAGACCCATAGACCTAAGTATCTTGAGTTAAACCTAATATGCTAAAAGCATTTCTTTGATTTTTTTAGAACTCTAATTGCTTCAGTACTTCTTGATCATTTAGAACATCTCTAATTAATGAATTTATGGTTTCTTCATCCTCTTAGCTTTGGATTTGGTCAATGATCTTTAAATGCTCTGCAACAGATCAAGGGCTAATATTGAATTTTGACTCGTCCCTTGATTTGTATCATAAAAAGATTTAGCTTCAAAATTGAAATGAAAATTTATAAACTCTACCATAATATAAAGAGTCAAACCAATTGTTAAAAGATACTATGACAGAAAAGTATACATGTGACACCTTTTAAAAGGACAAAGTAAAAATTTGAGATCCCATGTTTATAAATTCATTTTCTAAATTAAAACATTCATTAAATAACTGCTTATCATAGTTCATAAGCAACTAGAAGCATGAGATATCAATATAATTTGAGAACCAATAAAAATTGGGTTTAAAAATATCATTTTCACAAAACAGACTCATTCACCACAACCCAGATATGTTCGCTATAGCAAACATCATAAAGGCCATCCTCTATAGTGAAGCATGCATGCCCCACACAAAACCTTAATAGCAAGATTGTTGACAAGTAGAATTGAGGGCTAAACATCTCCATCCAATGTTCGAATAAAATGATCTAAGTTTTCATGAAAAAAATAATCTAATGAACTAGCTAATGGCATCAATTTTATATCCAAATTATTTCTAGTTACTACGCTAGACACCCAGAACCCCATTCACCACATTTTCACACTTAAACACATTTAGTATAGTATTCTAGTTTTATTTAGGAATTTAATTAAAAAAATTATTAAGTTTAATTGAGAATTAAATTGTGTTTTGTGGAAAATCAAGGTAAATGAGTTGGGCTCCCTTCATATGTAAAGAAAGGCCTAATATCAAAGCTCATTATATGTCTCACTAAGTAAAACATAGAGAAATTAGATTAGATCATGAGAAAGAGGCTATATTTAACATTGAGCTGTAGCCATTCAAGAGAGAAGAAAAGGCTATTTTCATATCTTTACAGGGCAGTCTTGGTAAATTGGTGTTTATGAATTCGTTAACAATTATATTGGATTGAAATTTAATCAGCAGGTTTGTAACATCTAACTTGTTATTTTTAATAGTTGGACCATTGATTCGTTGCTTAGATTAATAAGATTAACTAATCTAACCCTAGGATTAGTATGAGATTAGTGTTAGGTGTTGTAATTAGTTATAATTAATATGTGTTACTGTAGATTAGCATAATTGTATTATGTAAATTGTGTTGTGGACACCATAAGTGATCACTTTTGTGTTCATGGAACCTTTCTATCAAAAAGTAGAGGTAACCACTTCTTGATGCTATATTATGTGTCTTGTTATTAATTATGTGAATTTTGATTTATATAATATATGTGTTCAGAACCCATGTGTTAGATTAAGCTTTATTTTGTTAAGAATATGTATTTCCAAGTGGGATATTAATTGTTTATAAGAAAGTGTTGGGAGTAAAAAGTATAATAGAAAGCATGAGTTTTAATGTGTTATATATTTATGTGTATTGGAACTGTTATTAAGTGCATAACATGCTTATGTATGGTTAAGAGTCATGTGTTAGATAAATCTTATCATATAGTATGCCCCCATTATGCCCAATGGGTAGCATGTGTATAGCCTATACTAGTTTATTTTTGGTTGGGTGAATTAAAGTACCGAGCATGGTGTTTGGAACAAATAAGAAGTTGTTATGTCATATTTGCAATCTTATATATATCTGTTTTAAAATGTATTTTGTTCCCACTTAACAATCCACATATTTAATTACTTTGCATGCTTTATTTTAGGACTATCGCATCTCATTTCCTATGGTTTTGTTTTTATAGAAAAGGGTCTAGCCGAAAAAGCATCAGGAAGGGGAGTAATTGGGTGTATGTTAACACCCTTGGCTTATGTGGCCTCTTTTTTTTTTATCGAAGTAATATATAAAATGCCAACTTAGGATATCTTTTTTTATTATAAGCACGTAGGCCTTTAAATTTAAATTATTTTGCATATGTTAGCCATGAGATTTATGTTTGCCTCTTGTAGTTTGGACATTTTATTTGAGATTATTTATGCTATTGTATTGATCATGAGACTTCTATCTACCCATTATGGTCCAAAGATATTATTATTTGATTATTTGGAAAATACAGTTATTATTTAAGATTTAAAATTTTTTTATTTTAAAGTTGTTGGGAAC